ACTCTCACAAGTTTTGTAGACATCATCCCTTGTTTCCTTGGTTTGTATTTTCTGTTCACCCATGGCTGCTTTAATCACATCCACATCTCGCTGGGTAAACTGCAAACTCGTTTTTATCTCCTGTATTTCTCTGGTCATGTCGTCGAGTCTCTTGTTATTTGTCTCCATAAGTAGTTGCACAAAACCTTTGAAGTTGTCTTGTTGTTGGCTCAACAGTGCGGTGTACATCTGCTTCTGCTGACTCAACATCTCTGTTACTTGCGCCGCTGAAATATAATCCTCTTCTGCCTCAACGTCCTCGTTCGCTTCTGATTTATTAGCTCTTTTTCCTCTTGGAGGCATTTTAATAGTTGTAGAATTTGTTCAAAGACTTGAAAATGTAGAAGATGTGAAAAATCGTAGAACAGACAAGAGGAGCAGTAAACGTCTGCCGAGTTAACAAATGAGGGGACAAGTAAGAAGGAGGGAAGACAGAAGAGAAGAAAGACTTGAGGGATTTGATCCCCTGATTATGTGAGACTACTATAGAGAGGATCAGAGATTACATAATGTCTACATGAACACCTGCTGTTGAGATGTGGTTCCAGTATTTCTTGAATCTGCTCTGGGAATCTTCTCCACAGACGGCGGCCTGGTGAATCAGATCGACCCTCTCGACACTCAAAGATGGACAGCAGCTCCTGCAGTGCACATGAAAGCACACAGGCCACAGAAGGTGATAAGTTGTTGGATGAGAAAGTGAGCTTACACATGTCTCTGTGTATACATGTGTGTACCTGAATTGCATAAGCAGCTGAATCCTGCGCTCTCACATCATCAGCATAAGCCAGAAATGTTCTGGTCAGTTCAGTCAATACGTCGTAGGCAAAGTTAGGATCATCAACCCCACTCTGACACATAGAAAACAAACATTTGTGCTTCGTTTGTTACAGTCCTTGTTACATTTTTGGGAAAACAACTGTAATCCTGCAAACAATTGTTAAACAGTGCAGTAATCTGAGCTCATTTCATAAATATCTATGAAATGAAGCGGCAGTTTTGTTCAAAAGCGATAATATATACTGCACTTGTCAGAGTAGCATTAACGATTTTGCTACTTTATTGTACTGAATATTAACCACATTCTCTTAATGTATTTTACAATGCACAGCTTTGTTCTAGCCTTGCTTACCACAAAGGTGTTGCGGTCGCCGTGGGTGTGTGTGTGCGACAGGTCCAGGCGTCCAGGGTCCACGGCGCCCAGCTCCCCCAAACACTCCCCACAGAGGAGTCTGGCTTCTGGGGACGAGTCCTGGCAGCCCTTCAGCAGCACTGACACCAGGTTGGAGATGACTGGCTCCACAGCCTCACTCGCACAAACGTGGCGCAGCAGCCACTCCTGAAGGCCAAAGCACACACAAAAATATCTGTTATCAAACGTGGAACATTATGGTGCATTTAAGATTAGGAGGCAAATGCCAAAGACAAGTACTGGGATACAAGCATTACAGGTGGTACGCAACCAACAGGGTTATTTAGATGAACTGTTAAGTCATCTAACAGTGTGTGTGTGTGTGTGTGTGTGTGTGTGTGTATGTTTACCTGGTTGCTGTGCATCATGTCCCTGAGGCTGGTCAGTGCATGAATCCTGACATCAACGTTCTCATGCTGAACAGCTCTCATAGAGAGCTGCAGTGCTGAAGCCAGGTCACTGCTGCTTGCTGTCAGCTAGGTGGAAAAAATATTTGCATACTGCTATTTAGTGTCTTTAGCATCGCTGCTATTAACCAATAACGACTTTCAACCACCAACAGTGGCGCAATCAGGATTATAACTCACAGTACACACAAAAACCACCTACAGTAGCACACTGCTGCCAACATGAAAATAAAAAGTTATCTTGTAATAAGAAATTTTTCCCATTATAACAAAATGTAGTATTGTCGTAATGTGAGCCCTGCGCAGCTTAGAGAGTGACAGCAGTGCACACACCGACTTTGGGCAGCGCCTCCTTAGCTCATTCATTTCAGCATCCTCACTCTCATCAATGCCCTCCCACGCCAGCTTTCCACACAATGGCCAGCAGTGCACGCAGGAGGTGCACAGCAGCCCGTCCTTGAGAATCACTTGTGACACTTAAATCCATGCCCAATATTTAGTCCACCAAATAACACATGAATGCAGCTCATGAGCCATGATAAATAACTGCACATCCTGATGCTGCTGTCACTCACTCCAAGCTGCAGGGCAAACATTAGGGAGTAGAAATGATGTGATCCACACTAGGAGTGTGTGAGATCTTATTAGAAAGCTCTTTGGGCCATAAATTTAAAGACAGACTTCTACATATATATCATATGCTGATCATGCAACGACTACCAGACACCAGTGACATAAAAAATGAGCACAATCATTAATAAAAATGTACACATGGCCTACAGCTAATTCTTCATCATGATTATCCTCTTGTCCACACCGACCTTCTTGTAGTTCTGCAGAACAGTGTGGATGTCTTTCAGTTCAGGGTGATCTGGCAGGAAGTAAATCTCATGAAGGTATTCATTGACTTCCTCCCTGTGATAGAACGATGGCATTAGATCACTGCTGTCGGGTAAAAGCAAGGCATCTGCAAGAACTACAATCCAGTTTATCAGACAGATGAAGGTGACTGTGGATTATCTCAAGGTTGGGTGGTGTTATAAATGTTTCTACAGGAACATTCTGCAGTGTAGCATCTCTTTGGAAAGCAGAAGATGCTGTATGATTTTTGGACAGATGTGTATACGTTTTGCAAATTGATAACAAGGAAAATGCTATTTAGCTTTCACTTGACAAGCCTTAATTGTTTAAATTTGTCTAAGCATGTGTTTACCTGTTGTCTAGGATCAGGAAACGTATAATAGCAGCAGTTTCTTTGGGCTGTAGAGGAATCAGTGGGAGAAGTGCGGCAATCACGTGACTCAACAGGGGGCCCAGATGTGCAGGCTCCACGCTCCTCACAAAACACTCCCACGTCCTGACCACACAGATTAGGAACAATTACAGAGGCTCACAAGCAGGAGTTATACAAGATGAATGCATGACAGACACAAGACTGTGATTACTTTAAGGTTTGATTAACTATGTAATCAAAAGGTTAGAAATGGTCTTTCTTGTCTGTGTGTGGTGTAATAAAGGTGGGTAAATACATTTAAATGTAGACTTGGTCACATTAAGTACATTTGAGTGTGTTTTATATGTTGAAAGTCACAGTAAAAACCTGGGAAGATGGTTAGCAAGCAACTACTGTCAGCCTTCAGACAATATCTGGCTCAACTATGTCCATCAACTAATTCTGTGCCTTAACTTAACATGTATATTCACAAACCTTTTAAAAAAAACTTGAAAGCACTGTGTTTATTTGCGACTTTAAGGTGCAAGTGTGTGTGTGTGTGTGTGTGTGTACTGACTGGCAGCAGAGCAGAGGAAAGTCCTCTCTGTATCGGAGGCCTGTGCGGAGCGTTGTCATCATCTTCACTCTAACAGAGCTGATGTGTTTGGAGCCCATCAGTCGCATTAGAGCCATGGCACCGGTCAACGCCTGCAGAGAAAACAGATGGACACTTTCGTTTGCTGTGACTGATACAGACCACAAGCAGTAGCTGTACAAACCTTCTTACTGAAACAATACACAGTCAAATGACCGGTTATTAAATTAGTTCTCGGTAGAAGGTTGCTCACCAGCTTCTTGCGGTCCTTCTCTCCTGCACTGGAGCTGAGCAGATGCATGTTGAAAAAGGCAAGAATTCCCAGCAGCTTCGGCTGAAGGTAGTCTGCCTGTCGCACAGCAACCAAAGAAAGATGAGTGAGAAAAAAAACATGTGAGTTTTGAAAAGGAGAGGTTGAGCTACTGTTTCTTAACATTTGTAATGATAATATTTGACATTTGCTGAAAAAAAAAAAGCTTAAAAAATGTTCTCAGCTGCTTGAACAAACCTACAACTAAAATTTGTTTTTTAAATTGTTTAATCTACAGGGTTTTTTTTGTGTGTGTAAAATGGCTTGTACATGTTCAGGTCAGCCTGAAGAGATGTTTCTTGTTTCAGCTGTCAAAAGTTTACAATAATATAAATGTGCTTTTGTTTGTTTAAAAGCATTTGGGACTGAGTTACATTCAACCATGCCTAATATATCAGCATTTCAAAAGGAAAACAGAAAATGTTTAGTCAAAGAACAAGATGCAGCTGTAATGCTGTGTTCAGCTCTAACACATACCATGCGCTCTGGGGTGGTGATGTCTCTGGGTCCCTGGTACGGGTCATCACTGGATGCAAAGGAGGCCAAGATCGCCAGACCATTAAATACCTAGAAATGTTAAACACACACTAGTTTTAAACCACAAGTGAATTTAATAATTACCCAATGTACAACAAGGATAAACAATGGAAAAGACTTCATCTGTAGAGAAACATCTGCTCATGTGTGCTTCGACCTGTTGGTAATGCTCTCCCAGACGCAGCAACAGCTCGTTGTGAAGACCCTGGAAGTCTTGTCTTAGCAGAGAGCCCAGTTCAATCCCAGTCTCGTTCTGGAAGAGCATGTCAGAACACATGTCAGAGAGCCTATCCCCACAGCAGGGACTCACACCTCTAGTGTGTTACTGTCATAGGTTACCTTTGCCACAGTGACTGATGACCAACTTTTACTGAGTCGTGTCACCTCACACTACACCACAGGACAAATATCCGGTATATCAGATCATAGTTAACTTCAGTATCATTCACTATATGCCCTCTTCAGATAGATTTTTTTTTTGGTTTGTGGTGCAGAACAGAGTTATTCCCCACATGTTGATTCTGTAAATTCATTAGTAACCACCGCAACCAAAAGTTAACAAGTTCACAATCTGACAATTGAAAAATGGCTGTTGTCTCGAATGTGTAGATTATAGCTATGTAGGATAATATTATTAATACCTGCAGGTAGTGAAAGGCACTCTCCAGCTCCTCCTTGGTGCAGGAACAGACCAGGTGGCTAAAGATGTACTTGAAATTGCTGATGAGGATCTCTCTCCTGTTTGCCTTCAACTCAGTGGCTAGTGTACGGATGAGGGCGGAGCCTATAGGGCTCGCCTTTGCTGCCAGGTAGGGCAGTAGCACCTGTAGGGTCCTCTGCATAAATCAAAAACACCCATATACATAATTCAGCCTCAATGTACCATCTTATTAAACATCCCGTAGTTTAGTCTATATACTGTAAACTGTGGTGTCTGTGCGAGGAGTTGCAAACAAGACTGCACATACGGTGAGGAAGCGATGGAGGTCTGGGAAGTCGAAGGCGTGTGCAATCTGTGCCAAGATGTCCAGAGCCAGCTCCCTCTGGCTGGCTGACGAGCTGCTTTGATCGGGTGTGATCCGCAGGGCCGAAGCATGACGCGAGTGCAGTGACTCCACCAAGAACTACAAACAGAGAAGCATTTTCTCATATCATATCCACAGTGTGCTTTTGTGCCAATGTTAATTTTCACACCAAAAGCGTTAAGAGCAACCCTGCAGTGCAATTTATTATTGGCTGCAGTGTTGTTACCATAATATATACCAGAGGACCCAAAATCTTTCCAACAGCAAACAAGTTTAATACCTGGCAAATGGGGTTCTTGTACTGACTGAAGAGGGTTTGCAGCTTTAGGCCTTTGGCAGCGGCCAGGGCTCTGATCTGGGTGTAGGCAGCTACAGATACTTGGGACGACTTGGACAGCAGACAGTGGAGCAGCCGCAGCAGAGAGAATGACACCATATTACCAAGGGATGCTCTGACAGAGGAGGAGAGAGAGAGAGTGACAGCTGAACAAATAAACACTCAAGACTTTTACAAAGTGTTTTTCAAAACTGTGGTATTAAGAACCTCTGGAACAGTAGCATATATTACATATCTAGAGTGACAGTCAGTGAGGATAATATGCAATCTATACCTGCCAATCTCTCCAGTGGTCAGGATGAGAGTGTTGCGCAGTTTGTCATCTCGTTGGAGTTTAGCGTTGTTGAATGCCTCCTTAAGACGTGCAACCAGGAGCTGCTATGGCGAGAAGAAACACACATAATCAATCCCAGTAAAAAAAAAAAAGTGTCAGAACCCCAAAAAGGTCAAAGAAGTGTAAACCTTCCAGGATTTAACCGTTAACCTCGCTGATTGATAGGTAGCAAATTTAAACTCACATTCATAGGCGTGTTGTGCTCACTCAGTAAGTGAAATGTTACGGTGCACTATAGTTTAATAGCTTGTGCTCCCATTTTGTGTTCATATTTATGATAATTAGCTCTTCCAAATTAATTGCAAAGCACAGACTTTTGACTCGTACTACTGAAATTTCTCACCTCACTCAGAGAGTCCTGCTCGGAGTGTTTGCCAGTCACTGTTAACAGGAAACGTACTGATTGGCTGAAATGTATTCTGACTGCTGGATCTGAATCTTCCATTAGACTAATCAGAGCACAGAGAACTGCTCGAGAGTCGCTGTCTCCACCACTCAGATTCACATGCTGGCAGAGGTGAGGCAGAGCTTCTAGAAAAGCTGGGACAGTGAAATAAATAAGTCAAGGAAGTTCATTTCTCTTTCTTGCTAAACTTGTTAATACAGTTGGAAATACTGTAAATAATGGTAGTCGAATTTCACTGCTGAAAAATGGCCATAACTACATATTGTTGTAATATAAAGACAATCACAGCAATGTACTGTCCCGTATATTGAAGTGAATTTACTTTTCTTCTGTCTAGTTATTGTAATTGCTCATTACAAAAAAAGACAAGTACCTTGTTTAACACTGCTTGGTGCTTCAGGTCTGAGCAGCTTCAGAAAGGGCTTGACAACAGATGCTGTAAGAAATGGAAAAGTGTTCCCATCATGCTCTGTTGCAAGGCTGAGGCGACGGCAGAGGATTTTTGGAAGACAGATGGACTCTGTTTGGGTAACACCGAGGTGGGAGACCTCTGACTGGATACAGCTCAGCTGACCGATGATCCTGGCAAGCTCGCTCCTCACCAGCTCCGAGCTGTCGTCCAGCCTGGGACTGCACACACCCAGTTCACACAATAAAGTAAGTTACAAAGCAAAGTGAGAGAGAAAATTTCCATGATCATAGTTGGAAGTGTGGGAGTACATACAGCAGAGTAGTGCTAATGAGGCTGTGGTGTGTGTTTCCCAGGTGGTGAAGAAGAAGAGGGAAAGCTCTGACTGCCGCTGCTCTCACCACCTCATCTGTACTCTGCAGCGCCTTGGAAAGCAACCACACACGCCAGGTTTCACACACACCATGACGCAGGAGGGCGAGCAGCGACACACAGTCTGCCTGGATCTCAGATGCTGGAAAGACCCCAGGTTAGGTGTCAGTCGAAAGTTTTCACAATGATATCATGGACTTGTGAAATCCCTTATCTTTATGCAGACAGTAGCTCATCTCATATTTTACTGTGCTGTGATGCAGCAGTAATACTCACAGTAACAGAAGCTGAGTCTCTGAGCCAAGGTAGGAAGCCAAGAGGGGAATCTTGAGCTCTTATAGGCTGAGGCAGACTTGTTCTCACACACCCAAGGAAAAGATAACAGAGCACACACACGCTGCTGGAGCCCTTCCTCACCCTGACTGCTCACTATAGTCACACATACACAGGAGGCAGAGTTGATTTTTACCATATAATTCAGAATAAAACTTGTTTTTTACAGTCACTAATAGAAAACAATGGTAAAAATGACAGGTAACATGCCTTTATAGTGACATAAACAAATAACAGCACATGAATGAAAGCCACCAGAGCTGCTGTAAGAGATATTTACTGTGTTTTGCATGTGTGTATGTATATCCTTACTCGTCATGTACAAGATAGAGTCAAGGACCCCAACAACAGTGCAGACAGCAGAGTGAAAGTAGCTCTGGTTTGTGATTGGTTGGGAGCTTCCTTCTAACACTGACTGGCAGCTCTTCAGAGCTGTTCCCAGAGTCTCAGTAGGTACCCAGATGGGAGCAGAAGGATTGCTGGCAAAGAGATGGAGTTAGAAAAGAGAAGGGCAAAGCCAGAGAAAGTTAGAGTAGCAACATGTGTTTGTGTGTTACCTGGTGGGAGAGGAGCACAGGGCTGCCAGGTGGAGGATGAGGGCCAGACCCTGCAGAGCAGAGAGAGTCTGTGGACTTTCAGGTTGGACAGAGTCTGAGTTCAAAAAGGTCAGAAGCTCCTCCAGTCGACTGTTCACCACAGCCCAAACCTCACTCCAAACACGCATGTCCTGCTCACTTGGGAAACAGAAACACATATACCTTTAAATATCAAGGCTTTAAAGGAAATGTGGTTAATCAATTTATAAAACAGCTAAAATACTACTGCAACAACCAAATAGTCTTCTTTGCAGGAATCAGGGGACAGTGAAGGAAACATTACAGACACTAAAACAATAAACACAACACTGCATTTGTCAACAAACGTTTTAAACAAATAACAGAATAATTATATAGCTATATGCACAGTGTTGTATTTAAGAATATACCATGCACGTTTTGTTGTTTTGCTGACTGAATCCGTGGGAGATTTGCAAAGGATCTTGGCAGCAGGCTCCCCATCTCTTGACTCCTGCATCACCATAGCAGTCTCTGCCTTCAGTGCAGCTTGGAGAAACCCCTCTGCGCACTGCAAAACACAAGCACAACGAGAAAAAAGTTACAAATATTTTAACAGTGACAGAAAGAGATTTTAAAAAGGAACACGAAGAACAAAATTGTACTTCAGCTTGATTTTCTGTTCCAACGGTGTTTGTCAGTGTCCTGCAGACCTCTGTGACTCGTCGCCTCCGTAACACTGCTGCGCTCTCGTAAACTGGGGCAACAGATACTAAGAAGTGGAAGAGCAAGCAGAGTGATTCAGTAACCTCTGTCCCCAGCTGGACACCTGCTCCTCCAAGAGTACAAACACATTCAAACATCTGAGAGAGATAGATGGGCTCAAAGAGTGTGCGCGAGGTCCCAGATGACTGAAACACACAGCGTGTCAAATTCAGCAGCTCTCCTTCATAGGGCGGTTTCTCATTGAAGTGTGCATTGGCTGTGCATGTGTATATGTGCGTTTCTAGCAAATGCAGGTAGGCTGTGAAGAATTCATGGCCTTGCATTGCAGGAAACCCTCTCAGCTCCACCTGTTTCCTCAGCATCACCATGGAGATCTTCCTCAGCCTGGTGTTGCCATTGATCAGGATGGAGCAGGCCATCTCCCAGGCTACATTAAGGTCATGACAGGAGACCACTCCCCTCAGGGCATTTGTTATAACACCAATTGTCACGGCTGTCAGTGACTCCAAGGCAGCAGGCGAAGAAAGGACAAGAGAGGAAGGCGTGAGGTATGAGGAGGTGCAACCAGGGGAGATACTGAAGCACTCAAGTGTTACAGGCCACTGGCTCTCTGTGTAAATGCCCACAGTGTGTCCCAGTCCTGCCAGTGTGGCAATGTGGGCATTCAGGATGGTGCTGAGGTCCTGTGCGAGACAAATGAGCTCCTGAGTGAGGTGGCTGAAGATGAATGGTGCCCTTATTCGGAGAGTGTGAAGTAAGGAGCACAACACAGCAGAGACGCGTCCGTGGATGACATCACAGTCTGGAGCAGCTGTGACACGAAGCAAACGCACCGCCACCCACTTACTGAAGTCTGAATGAAACAGGGAATGACAACGGAGAATAAGGGGAAAAGAAAAGCATAACTGTACAATGAGAAATATCATTTTTATGCTTTTTCTATTGCCAACAAAATATTTAATTAAACATGGCAGCTTTTAAGGAAACATGTCCTACCGGTACAGCTCTGAGTGGTGTCTGGATACTCAGCAGGCTGGCAGGCAGGGTTGGCGAACATCAGAGATGAGGATTTGACTATATGCTGCACAAAGTCCAGCAGCATCACACAGGCTGGATCTGAACTGGACTTCTTACTCAGACCAAGAGCAACTGGAAGAACAACCACAATATATTAGAATAAGCAACAGGTTCACAATCTGGGGGTCAGGTTCCCCCTACAGTGTTACACGCTCACGGTAGAGTGTCACAGTCTGACTGACAGGATAGTGTAGAAAAAAATAACACATTTCCGGTTGCTAAAACTAGTTCTGGTGCAGTATTAGGCATGTCTATTTCTTTGAGCAACATATTACTAATATCAGTCTAAGAAGCCAAAATTCACTTTTGTTAAACCATTCATAGGTCATATGGACACATGCAACCTACAATGATAGGTAAAAAAAAAGAGATTATTTCATTTTGAGGACTTATAATCCAGTCAGGTTATAGTCACAAGACTTCAGTGACATAAAGCTGAGGGCAGAATATAAACAAATAAAGACAATAACAGTAAGCTCTTCAAATATTAAAGTTACAGTTTCACAAGATTGGACTGTCAGTGCATTAGTCACAAACCTGTAGTAAGGGGAAAAGTCAACATCACTACGACATACTGTACATAAACATAACAGATAACTAGAGAACAGCTGTCATACGAGGGCCATCTGTCCTGACTTACCGACATCCACATCTGTGAGTATCCTGTCAATGAACTGACAGAGGATCTGTCGAGGTTTCTGCACCGCCTGCTCGTACTGAGCAGCGCTGACACTGCAAATACCAACATGGTGTTACGTTATTTATGAACACATGGTAAGGTGAAGATTTCCATTAGCTCATTTAATTTACTAATTCTCAAAAGAAGGCTGCGTTCAACCTAAGTCTGTTTCAGAGACTAATACCTTGTTAACAGCTTAGCTTTTAGCCAACTTTAGCCGAGGCACGTACCTAGCTAGCTCCTGAAGAGTTATGTTACATTAAAAAATAATAAATAGTAAAGTATGCTAGAATGAAGACAATAACGTCTTCGTGAACATTCATTTGAAATCTGATATATCACACAGCTGCTGTCATGACCCTGCAGTTAGCTAAAAGCGAAGCTGTTAACAGCTTCGCTTTTAGCCAACTTTAGCTGAGGGCACGTACCTAGCTAGCTCCTGAAGAGCCGGTATCATGGCGGACATCTCCAGTCCTTCCATTGTACAGCAGCTTGTGTAGCGCTGTTTGAACAACTTCAACTCATATCATGGATGCATGGAGTGACTTTGACTATTTGAACAACTTCAACTCATATCATGGATGCATGGAGTGACTTTGACCGGGAAGCTGCTACATGTCTCGCAGCAGGTCTCTCACATCTTTCTGAAATTTTCGCTCCAAAATGACGTTTTTGTTTTGATACGGTAGCCACCGAGGGCCACTACACATAAAAAAAAAAAAAAAAAACCCAAAGAAAATTTACACCTACCCAAGTACGATTAATTGCTTGCCCTAAAAGTAAACTTATGATACGTCAAAATATTTCTTCAGTTCATTATTTGTGTGTACCAAACATCTCGATGAGCGCTGCTTGCCCTGTTGTATCCAGCACTTTCCTCTTGAACTCAGTGGGAAAGTGTCTAAACATTTTTCTGGTACTGTACATCAGGAAGCTTACAAATGACTGCACATGTTAATAATAGGTTACCAGTACACACTGTGGTATTTCAAGCTTTATACGTATATATACTGTGGTGTGTTTTGTTTTAGCGGTGTATTTCAAAAACACTTGAATATGTTGCAGACACAGACCAAATATGGACACGTTTACAGTCATGAAGCAGTGTAAAAAAAACCAGCATAAAGCTGCTTTAATCTGCATACTTTCCCATGACTTCCATTTCTTCTGCCTGAAATAACATTCTAACCAGATAGAAGGCTTACTGAGATTAAAAACATCATTGTCACAGCACTAAAGCTAAATTAAAGAAAGTAAATTACTTTTACTCAAGTAGATTTTGAAATACTTTATACAGGGACACTGTCTGTTTTAATGATACATGGCATGATATGACTTCCATTCTGTGTTCTTTTGGGCTACCTAGTGTTATAATCTATGTGGCTTCAGTCTCTGAATGTTCTGACAATATACATACAAAGCTGGTAATTACATTTAACAGATTCTTTTTAATAATTAAATATCAATACTGAATACACATTTACAGGCTTAGTATTGCTGAAAGAAGACATGTGAGTGATTCTGCTTTTCCTTCTGCTGAATCTCCTGCTCATACTCCAAAAGTAAATAGATGTAATGTCCTATTAAATATGACGTAGCAAAGAATAAGCATCTTGTTTTATGAAATCTCATATGACAAACAAATGCAGTGGTTTTTCTGAGTGGAATCATTTTCAGCATACTGTTTTCATGAAAGGAAGAACAGATGAGAAATTACCCTACTGTCTGGGGATCACTGCACATTTAAAGGGCAAAGAACATGAATTATACTAACAAGAAAAAGAAAACTGGATAAACACGATGTAAATTACAGTGATGCTTTGTTCCCAAATGGTTTGCTCTTGTCTGCTTTTTTTGGCGGTTGACCTTTTTTCAAACCGTGGCCCATGAGACAAGCAAACACTGTCAGCACCATCTTGGGATTCACCTCCACCAAATCATCAGGCAGCGCGTAGACAGGAGCTCCAATCTTACGGGCCAATGAGACTGCATACCTGGGAGAGAAACAGAAAGAGAGAGGAGTTAGGGGGCGATGAGCAAGAGACAAACACAAAGATGTGGGAAGGGGAACAAAACCAATTGAGTTTATTTTTACTTGGCATTGCTGAGTTTATCTTCATCCTTGAGCACTCCTCTCTCTGCTCTCTTCACCAAGTCCCATTTGACAGTACCAGGAGCAATGACATCGATCAGGTCAATCACTGGTAGACTGGTGCTAATCTTTTTGTCCTGCAGAGGGCATGGGAACAGGGGTTAAATGCAACCATCTATTTACACAAATATAAAATGCACTTGTGCATGCACACACACACACACACACACACACCTTGAATCTACTGATTTGTGTATCCTTGCGTTTTTGGCTCAGGGTATTGTTGACCCAGTTGAGGATGATCTGATCTGCAACCTTCTCTCCATCACCAAGATCTGACAATACCAGCACTGTGTACCTGATGGATAATGGGCAAGGTGAGAGAACTGAAATTGTACAAGGAGCAGCTTCATACAAACCACTAAAGAGACCAAAAAATGGACAATCTGTTTTTCCCTAAACATTATAGCACAATAAGTACTGTCTCCAAGCTCAGAATGGTGCAGGTACCTTCTCATCAGCTGCCAGACTAATGCCAGAGTGTGCATTTGACTCCCCTCGTTTAGGTTTTCTCCTCCAATACCAACCAGAGAAAAGTGAGCTACATCCCGGCCCAGCTCCACAGCATAGTTACAGTTCTCCAGCTAAAAGAAAAAAAAAAGTTTTATTTTATTTTTCAAACAAACATTTGGTTTTATGTCATCAGTGTTGTGTTTCCTTGTATGTTCTGAAGGCAGCTGTACCTTCTTCATATTGGCCCCCAGGACAGGATAAGGTGGGTGGTTCACTTTCTTCCAGTTCATGGGTACATTGACCTTCTCATAAAGCTGCAGAATCACCAAACCATCACACAAATCACTGCAAAAGACAAAACACACAAAGTGAGGAAATTCAACACAAAATCCATATATGCACTGTGTACATCTATCACATGTAATCAGGATTACAAGACAAGCAAGTATAATCCACAGCTACCTTAGAGAATATTCTTCAGATGCAGCTGGATTTGACAGGCAGAGGCGGCATCCAGTTGAACCATGACTTACCGTAACTGTGCCAAACTACACACTGTTTTAAAGGAAAGAGCTTCACGGTTTCCTCTGTGTAAACTGCTTTAAAATCTCAGTATCACTGCCTCACTAGATGCTTGTTTTGCAACAAAACAGCATGCACAAAATGGAATTTATAAAAATAGATCAGATTCTTATATGTTGTGCTGTGCCTCTGATTCAGTATCACTTATTCTAATGAACACAAATTAGCACAAAGAAAAACAATATTTTAAGTAAACTCATGGTCAAAGTTTTGTGGAAGTATGATCAGAAAGTGAAGTGAGTGAACCTTGAACAAGGCGCCTGTGCACTCCCCACTCAGTGTCCATCAGCAGAATGCAAATACTAACATTTATTCATAAGGCACATTTCTAAACCAAGTTTAGAAAGTGCATAAGAACAACTTAAAAAATGAGCATGTAAAACATGTTAGGCATCCATCTCCTTTCCTGATAATGTTAATCACAGTGATGTGTAACTGAGGACATACCGGTACAGGTGGTTTACATATGGAGAGACGCCCAGAGAGTTGATCCAGTTGCGAAATGTTTTCTCTTCTCTGGTCTCAGCTGGAAACACATGTAGACATGATCACCACCATCCTGTTCTACCAGCTCTTCAAACATTGTCATCTGACTAGAAGGTTCTAGCTTCAGCTATTGCTGACATGCAGTAAATCTAGGTTTACAGTTGCTGTAACCTGTCACACACTGATTTGTTTGCCTATTGGGCTGTGATGTGCATGTCTACAGTTCATGCATCCACTGTATATTCACAGTATGAGGCACATCCTGGCCTGACTGTGTGTGTGTGTGTGTGTGTGTGTGTATATACATGTCAGCATCTCATTTTAATTTTAATATAATAGGAAGGCACTGTGACAGGTTCAAGACAGTATCATCATATAGCTAAAAGGCCTAAATCTTGTATTAAACAAGGTTTCTGTCTGTGTCTCACCCTCTATGTGTGCATTCTCTACACCGCTGCCTTTATGAGCTCTTTGTAGAGCAGGGTGCATGTTGAACAGGTTGGCCACAAAGGCCATGTTGAGTTTGCTGTTTCCAGATGTAACATCATGAGGAGAAACAAACTGCCTGCAGTCCAGCCGGGCTGCCTGCTGCAGCATTAGCTCGGCCCTTTGGTCCAAATCACGCTCCTTCTCATACACATGAAACAGACACATGTACAGGGACAATATAGACACACATACTCATGCCAGAATCCAATAGAAAGGCCACTTCAGTTAGTGTAATATTATGTACACTGTCTGCAGGATAATAAAACAAGGAAAGATGAATAGACTGGCAAATCACAAAATATTAAAGCTGAAACAAAATAATAATATAACCTTAGAACACAACAATCCTATCACATTTATCAGTTATGTACTCACAGTTGTGACCTTTACATTTCACATTTCCCACTTATTAATTTATCAGTGTGATTTGAAGACTCACATTCAGGCCGCTCATGTCGATTTTGACAACCATTTTGAATTTGTGCTCTTCATGGGAAGCAAGCTGATCCAGCAGGTAGAAGTAGGCTCGCGAGTCCTACAGTGGCACAGTACAAAGGGTTACACTTACAGCATGCCTTTGCGTTATTGTGCATGTGTGTGTTTTGAAGGGCACCTTGATATCTTCACTGAAGTTTCTGATTGTTTGCGTTCCTGCGTTGCGTAGATGATAGTTGACCCAGCGGAGCAGTAGCTCCTCTGGGGAGAGAGACATCAGGTGGTCCAGCTGTTCTCCTTCTTCCAGAAGGCTGATCAGATCTGCAGTTAGTTTACCATTAAAATCAAGATTTTTAGTGGAAGTGGATCAGAAACTGCCAGGTCACAGTAAAAGTCTATTTTGGGGAAAATAAAAGTTGGTCCTGTTGACAGATTCCGTCTTGATATGTTAAACTGAAGCACTGTTAGACCACGGGACCAACTTGAGCCTTTTTACCCTTGGGGTGCTGTCTAACATGGCCCAAATGGGCTAGTTTTAAAATAGTTCACACCTGCAAGTGTTCCTACATGCAACTGAAAAGCAAGTTATGCAGCTGAAGAAAGGAGGAGGAAATGATCACCTAAATGAATGAATGAAAATTTGTGCCTGACTGAATTGTTTGATGAAAGTGAAAATAAGTGTTGCATCATTACTTTTATTGCTTCTTATCAGTTTCATGTTGGAACACAACTACAGATATCATTAAATGTCTCTTTTGTTGTACTCGACATTTCTTCATTCTTGACTTTAGAATCATCAATGTGCATGTGTTTATGCACTGACCTTCGTCCCTGCTGATTTCTATATCAGCAAACAGGCCAACCTTGATAACCTGCCAGAGCAGCCCCAGGACCAGATGAGGTTTCCCAGCCATCAGATCATGGGCGTCAATGCTGACCACTGTGCAGCCGATCGCTGAGGCAGAGTTCAGAGCCAGGACCAGATTCTCCTGCAAATGTGAATGAATGGTGAATCAGTGTGTTAATTTTCAATCAAAGTCAGAGATTTTACAGCCAAAAAAAAAAAAACAACATTATGGCAATTTCTGTTGTTTTAACAGCTCAGCAAAAACAAAGAGTGTGGCCAGAATCCCCCAGATAATAACTACCTTATGAGAAATCAAAGCGCAGAACTCTGAATTAGTTCATTTTTAGAAGATGCATCCATCTGGATGACAGGCCAGTGCTTTTTGTCATACTTCGTTGAGAAGGCAAGTATAAAATAACAATAAATATTAAAAACAAAATATGCTGTAAAAAGGTAATATTTTACACCTTCCAACATTAAACAGTGGAGCCATGGGTAATGTATAGTGAAACATTACATTAAACAAAAACATGTTCAGTGTATTTTGAAAATGAAAGCATGAATTTACTTGTAATACACTAAAGTACAATTCTGAGGTACTTGAACTGAAATTATTGGTTACTCTGCAGAGTAAGATTTCATCCACAGTACACATCTAACGAATACTGTGAATTTGCTAAACGTTTAACTCACTGTCATTTTGAAGGTGGTGAGTTTCTTTGTGTTGATGACTCTTTCGTCGATCGTGTCAGGCTGAGATAGGTTGATCATTTTGCTGAAACAGAAGAAGGAATGTCAGTGGGTATAAAACTGAGTGCGTGAGTGAGTCAGAGGTAATGACTGCTGGATCTAATTGCAGAAGCGTGTGACCTTTCGTCTGTGATGTGCTTCTGTATAATGTGCTATGTCCAAGGAGGAAAAGTGAACCACT